TCAAATTAAATTAGTTTTGTAAATTAATGGTGTCAATTGAGAAACTTTTCTTATATATCAAAAGATGTAGAAATTAATTCTGTGTAAGATAACAAGGCTAAAACTCTGGATACATAATGTTTTACTGCTTTTATAGGCAAAAAACAAAACTCTGTGAAAAATAGGTTCAAAAGTTAGGTTTTTTTAGATTAATCAGTTTTTTGCAGAAGACTTAACTGAAAGATTTCGAAGAATATGTGAGAAGATGTAGAATTTTCCATTGAACCATCTGATGTTTTCAAAATCCTTATGGAATCTGTTTTTGGATTAAGGCAAATATTTTTCTGTTTTCAGTGTATTGGGGTTTGAGAACTTAGTACTATTCAATATTTTGAGTGGTGCTCAAACGAGAAAAATGCTATCAGAGATTGAAATAGCAGATTTTGTAGGGAATTCAATTCTCTACCGAATGGGCCTAGAACGAAGTCTGTTGAGCATTGGAAAGTGTCCCGTTTATTATGCGCCACTCGTTATTTCTTGTCTACAGAACACCCAAATGGGACCCATGTATGTCTATTAAACAAAACCGTTAGTTAGATCATAATGAAAGAACATGTTGATACAATTAATCCTGGCGTGCAAAACGAATTGTTTCATTTATGCTTCTCCTCAATTATCACACATTGTATAATAAATCTTCTTTACACTATCGCAGGTTTTTGTTATGTTACTAACCTTTTTGTATTTCTTACTGTTCTCATGTGATAACAATGGTTGTGTTGTTTTTCATTTTTCTAACTTTCAATAAATAAAATATATAAAATGAAGGGATACTTACGTGTCGGATGCTTCAGTTCTTATTACACAACATTTCTGTGTTCCTTCGCAGACCTCACTCTCACCTCAAATTTTTATAGCGGAATACATACTTCTCTAGTAGATTCATTCATTTTGTTCGTTTCTTGCATGTTGTTCTGTGCATGCACCTCATACATGCTATACCATTTAATATGAAAGCAACATATCAAAACAGAATTTATTTATAGTATGCTAAGTAACGAATAAAAGCTCATTTTCAAAAACAAAGGTGGAAAAGCTTTTTTATTGTACAGGTGACTAAACGTGACGTCGAATGCACAAAATAGAAAAAAAGATTAAATCGATTGACTCATCACAATATCTCACTATGAAGCCACTGACCATAAATAAGATTCCACAGACAAGTCAGAAGAGTTTCATATGGACATTATAAGAATCTTATAAGAAAGTGATAAGAAACTTATAAGAATTCTTAAAAAATTTTTGTGTTTTTTTGAAAGTTGCTTGAGTTTGTTCTGTAAGTTTACTACTGTCAGTCCTACATGAAAAAGTTTGAAAAAAATAGCGGTCCGCTTAGACCTATATTGCATGTTGTGCTGTACGTGCTCTTACCTACAGCTATAACGGACTACAACTATGATAAGTTATCTAGCTATTATATTATGATATTACAGTTTTTCGGCTTGTTACTTAAATTATAAAAAACAGGGGAGTGATCTCAAACTACATGAAAGCGTATGCACTTTATTTAGTACTTTTTGCTGACAGTTCTTTAATATAATGAATAACTTTTTGCTTGTTCTCTGTTATGTTATCCATGCTTATTCTAACATCTGTGTTGTAATAAATAATCTGTCTAAAAGAAAAAAAAATTTCACCGAAAGTTGAATGACTGTTGTTTCAACATTAAACAGTTGCCGAACACATTTTTCTGAAGTGTTTCACCTAGGAGCCATTGCACATAAGCCATGACAAACCAAGCTCAATGACTATTTCGAAACTTTTTCTAAGTAGTTTCATCTTGTAGAGCATGTTTGAAAACCTATAAATCCAACTTTTTAGGCTTTCCGAACTTTTAATTCGGTAGATATGAAAGTTTTTCGACTGGAGTAAAGTTCGAGAAGTTATACGCGTGAAAAACGTACATTTCGTTTTTCTCGTGAACGAGAAGAGACGGAACCGTGATTTCTTCAGGGTAGGTAGCACTTGATGTCTACCATATAATGCATACAAATATTGCGTAAACCTCTCATCCCACACATTACAGCAAGACCGAAACGGAGCTTCATGGAGCCCTTTTTTGTGAGCGATCGATCTCGCTATTATGAACTTACGTTGAAGTCGGACTACTTGCAGTAGATAAGTGTACTATCTGGAATCACCGTCAGAAGTTTAGGATACGCAAATTTGTTACAGAAAGTTTTGCGACCAAAGTCGAAGTAAACGGTCGGCGTAAACATTCACTTTGAAAGTGTTTCCTGTCTTAATGAAAAATTACATATTTTTCAAAAGAATACCATTGGATAGCCCGTGAAATTCTCTATAAACTGAGCTAGTCAGAATATCTAGACAGGTGGGATCAGTCAAACATATGCAAAAGAAACGTTTGGGTTTTATATATGTAGTACGGTGTTTTATAATCATAAGAACTCCTTTGTTTTTGATTTTTCAGTTAAAGCTGGAACCCATCTGAATACTGTTTTCAATAGCTCGAAGCTTTTTCTATCAGATGAGGTGTATATCGTCATTTTATGAGGAAACTTGATAATAGGGTTTCTGGAAAACCTGAAGGCTAGAAAACCAAGTCTTTGATTTTTGGTTAAACAACTTTCCAAAGCATATAGCCTGATAGAGCAAAGAATTCTAAGGAAAGTAAGATATCTCCCGGCTGTCGATAATGCTTTTTCACACAACTGTAGTCGATTTATGAACACCGGAATATTTTCTGTAACTTTCACCCACTTTCTAGCCATTCGTAAATCGACTACAGTTGAGTGAAATAAGCTCAATGTGATAGGACTTCAAACGCTGCTTCAAACAACACTGTCTCTCCGATTTGTAGTCTGACCAGTAAACTTCAAATTAGGGTTAAATGCACTTGCCTGTCTTCTGCCTGAGTTGTTAGCAGAACTGGCGCCTGATTATGGACAAAATTGCCTAGTTTTCGATGAAAATTTAATATCTCACGAACAACGCATAATTTCAAAAAAAAGGATATATTATTTTGTTCTACGATGGACGCCGGATCGAATGGAGCCAAAATCAAGGCTTTAGCTTTTAAAGATTCGAAGGAGATAGTATATTAATATCAATAATAATCGAAATCCGAATACTAATACCAATGCCCGTAACGATACCAATACAAATATGAATAATTTCCGCAATATTCCCCAAGAAAAACGTTACCATCTTTCGTCTAATCGTTATTGATGCAATGTGACTCAAGCCATACGAAACGATAATACATTAGCCCACACAGTCAATATTTATTCTCACAATATCCAAAGTCTTGTTAGAACTTTCGTCTTATCACGGACAAAACTTTCTTTTCTTTTAGCGATTTTGACGTTCTATCATTCCAAGAAACGAATCTCGATACGACAATTAGTGATGGAGAGATGACCCTCTCTGGTTATTCTCTCGTCCGCTGAGACCGAAATCGACACGGAGGAGGTCTCGCAACATATATTTCCCCTACTTTACAATTTTCTACACTCGCTTCTTCTGATAGTATTGAAGCTTTTATATTACTTGTACAGTCTCTTTCTCTTGATTTTCTTTTATGTAATTGTTATCGTTCGCAATCTGTTCCTGTTGATTTCTTTCTTGATGTTCTTCATACTTTTGTTTCTAACTATTCCTCTATCTCTTCTAACCTCCTGTTGTGTGCTGATCTTAATCTCACTTTTCATGTGTCTTCCGAAATGTACAATGTTCAAAGTCTCTCTAGCTCTTTTCTGTGTTCTCTTGTTGATTTTTCTGTCACTACTACTTCTAATACGTGTATTGACTATATCTTTTATTCTTCTTCCTGGAACAATGTTCTCTCTCTTCCTTTCCCCCTGTTGGCTGTTCCCCTCATTTTTGTTTATCTGCTACTTTTGATGTACCTGCTCAACCTCTTTCTCCTTCTACTTCTTATCGTTATGACTTCGAAAACGCCAGTGGTCTGAACTACGGCGTTTTCTCTCTATTATACCTCATGGCCTTTATACGGCTACCGGTGCTTATACGGCCGTCCACATTTGGACTAAGCACGTAAACGATCCATCCGTAGATTCATTCAACTGGAGCCAGTTCGTATTCTATCTTCTCTTCTCTTGCCTTCTCCAAAACTTGCACATCTTATCTCTATCCGTAATCAGCGTTTTCGTAAACTTAAACGCCGTTATATTTCTCTTAACCTTGCTGAGTTCCGTAAAGCAAGAAACCTTGTCCTTTCTCTCTATCGACGTGAAAAATCTTCTTACTTTCGATCTCTCTCTTCCTTATTTTCTGATCCTCGCAAGTTTTGACGCTTTATCAAGAAACTATTCTCTTCTCACTTCGCTTTACTTCAGTCTTTGTTTCTAGGCTCCAAATCTGTTTCCACAGATGCGGATAAAGCTGAACTTCTCAATTCTCATTTTTGGTCTTCCTACTCTTCTCTCCAGGGACTAATTCCTCCCTCTACCACTCCAGACTTGCCAACGTTGGATAAACATATCGGCTTCTCTATACGAGACGTTGGGCGTTTACTTCAGAAATTGGAAAAAAAGGAAGAATGCACTGTTTGCGGAGAATAACCATCAACACAAGATGAAATGCGAACGTATTTAGAACGATGAAGACGTAAAGATGAGTAGTGACGACGATGCATAGTATAAAAAAGAGAAACAGGACTTAGACGGTGATAAATTTTGAAAAACTGTAGGGTACTTCCGCACAGGTTCGACAAGTATTACATGAGCTAAACGCCGGGAGGTTTTGACTGTTTGAAAAACACCATCTTTCCCAAATTTTTTTTTAGTTTTTCGTAAGTTTTTGTTTCAAAAGAAGGTTTGACGATTTTTTAAGATACATAGTCTTGTAGAGCTCGACGAGCTCTGTCTAACTCTTTTAATCTTTTGAATAAAGACAGCACAATAAAAGCAGTTCTACGAGGAAAGCACAAAATCCGCATCTCTACCAACTACAAAGAAGGGTTCGTGAGCGTATGACGTCTAGCAAATGGTATGCACGGTGCGATGTTTGTCCTTCTTCTCTTTGCCAGTTTTGTCGGCTTTCTTCACATCGCCATGATTCCCACCCACCTCCTGGTTCGACTGAATCATTTGCGCCACTCTCTCAGCATGTTGTTTCGATCGTCGATGCTGATGTTGGTCATCACGTGCCGCCTTCAACGATGCAACCAAGTCCTGATGTCCATGATGATCAGCCAAAGCAACCAGCACGAGTCGAATGTCCTCGAGAAGCATCGAAGCAATATTGCGAGTAAAATTTTCGCGCACAACGATTCTGCAAACGGTGATATCGCTGGCGTTGGCAGCTAGTGTATAGACAGGTACAATCCAACCACGCTCTCTCAACCAGTGAACGAAGGTCGTTTCATTGAACTTGAGACTTTTCGCTGGGTTGAGTGAGAATGCGATCATCGGTAAGGAAGGCTTATCGTTTTGACTGTGAACGATCAACAGTCCCTCGCTCATCGACGTCAACGATTCAGCCAAATATTTTGCATTGTCCACTGCCAATTGCATAATTCGTGTGTAGCCTTCCACGCCCAAGCAGAGGAATTGATAGTATTGTCCGATAATACTGGCAGCCGAGCGTGAGAAATTGAGATTGAATGTTGCTTCATCAACGCCCAAGTAGTTGACATGGAAGATCAAGTCCTCGGGAAGATCTTCTTTGCGACGCCAAATAATCCAGCCCAAACCGGGCAGTACTAGTCCGTATTTGTGACCGCTGGTGTTAATCGACCGGACTTGCTCCAGTCTGAAATCCCATTCGACATCGGGAAAGACAAACGGGGCGACCATGGCACCTGAAGCGCCATCGACGTGGATAGGAATATCCAGTCCTTTCTTGGCCTTCAACTTCAACAAGGCGTTGTTCAATCGTTTGATGTCTTCGAACTCGCCGGTCAGTGTCGTGCCGAGGATAGCGACCACACCGCAGCTGTTTTCGTCGCATTGAGAGATAGCTTGATCGATATCGAGTGTGTAGCGATTGTGTTCAAGTGGAATAATTCGAGCATCAATATCAAAGTATCGACACAGTTTTAAGACGGACACGTGAACGGCAGCGCTGAATATCAAATTGCAGCGAGTGGTGATTTCCTCTGGCTTCTTCCCTTGTCTTGCAGCTTGCTGAGCTCGCCAACGCCATTTGAGAGCCAAACCGCCTAACATAATTGCTTCACTCGAGCCGATAGTCGCCGTTCCGACTGCTCCACCTTCATTGTCCGGGGGCGCGTGAAACAAATCTGCCAGGATATTGACGCACCGATCTTGAATTTCACTACTGTGCCCGTATTGACTCGTGTCCGCCAAATTCTTGTTTAAATTCTCAATCATCAAATCGAGACATTCGCGATCGACCTCCGTGGTGACAAATGATGCTAAGTTAAGATTGGGATTGCCGTCGAGTCTTAGTTCACTGCGAATGATAGAGGCAGCTGCCTGTCCAGTCATTGTTCGTTCAGGCATCTTGTGTTTGGGGGTGTCATGACTGACTTCGACAAAACGAGCCAGATGACCGATCGTTGCTTTGGCGCTCTGGTCCGATACGTGGCTCGACAGAGACATGAAGCCGGCGAGAAGAGTAGAAAATAATGGGCCTACTAATATCTGAAGAAGAAGAATCATTTTTATTGATAGAGATGTCACAAGAAACAGTACAACTAAAGGATTTATGTTTTTATCACTGTACTTGTAAAAGGTAAAATGACAACATCCACAGGTAAGGAGCACGCAGTTCAAAGGTTGAAAACTATTTCGTTTTCTCAATAATTTATATATGGTTGGATAGGGCTGGTTGAACTGAGTCAGGACATGCGTGTTTGAACTTTTCAATATGCTTCTGTAGAGAACATTTTGAAAAACTGAAAACTAGGGTGTGGTCTAAACATCCACAAGTTTCAATAAAATTGATTTTATGAACTCCCCTTATGTTTTGAAATTGTTTGGGTTATTTTTTCTTAATCACGATAAAAAGCTGAACAAGAAGACATGTTTTTAACACCGTTCACACATAACGCGGGCCGAGAATCCCTTGAAGGTTTAGAAAACGTCATATGTTCCGATTGTAAACTATGTAATCGTTTTGATTAACAGATGTAGTTACGTTTCACATGTCATGCAATTCGTCATATAGATAGGGAAAACGCTGATTATCGCTTTTCTTAAAATTCCAAACACTCCCCAAAACCATATCACTGCATGCAGTTTTGCACCTCATGAGACCATTTCCAAGCCTCTGAAATAGACAAAATGTGCTAAAACCTAAATTTACTGGAAAATTGATTGATTTTTCTTCATATGAAAAATATAGTCTTTTTAGTGTTAAAACTTTTGAACCGAAAACGACAATCTTGAAAAAGTTCGACTTTTGTGGAAAACGTTTTTTAAAAAAACGAAAAAGCAAAAACGTGGAGCAACCCAGGACCGGTTTCGACCTTACTCAAGGGTCTCTTCAGCTGGCTTATGGTGTGAAACATGGTGAAAAAAATGAATGCACGAACTTACGTGTCATTCTTAGTCAAATAATAACAACTAATCTTGTTTTAAATAAGAAGTTATGTTCTTCTTATTGAAGAAGAAGAAACTAAAGCACATTTCTCTATTGGCAAAAAGAACTCATGTTCTTCTATCCGAAAAAGATGAAAATACAGTACATGTTTGTGTGTGTATATCGCTATGAATAAGAAGAAATTTTTTATTCCCTCTATCGAAAAAGAACAAAATAAAGCACTTGTTAGGCTTTTTTCTCGAAAAAACGATTATTTTCTGTCGGTGACGAGAATGAGTGCAAAAGAACGGAAAAAATGACTCACCATACCACCTTCCCAGCAATACATTCACCGCGTGTACAGAACAAGCAAAACCTTATCTTCGTGTTCGTAAGCGATCGAAGGTGAATCTCCATTTTTCGTCTGATCACGCGCTGTCATGCGGGTCATTATGTAGTGTTCAATTTGATCGTCAAACGATGATTATGATACTTTGGTAGAAATGGGGTATTAGCTATTCTCCATAGCTGCTGTTCAAATAAGGGACCCTTCAAGACCGATTGACACTTGTGTCCACACTTTTTTCATACATCTGTCGTGGCGGGTGACGCAACGTGCTTGTCTAGTAAAATCGTAGCTGAGTTTGATAAGATCATTTTCTGTCGATGACGAGAATGAGTGCAAAAGAACAGAAAACATGATGAATATATGCATATCTATCTGCCGTATCGCTTCGATGATAGGAATTACTCATCGACAAGGGCTTTGGCAAACCCCATCGATTGTTTTGTATAACAGATGTGAGATGGTGGCCGTCTGAGTAGCAAAAATATAAGACGTGTACGGCATTTCATGAATTAGTCACCAAAAGTTTTTCGAAAATCTATTTTTACTTGTGTCTCGTTCTAGAGTTGATATAATAACACGACGTTGATTTTCAATGGAAAGAAAACGTGAACGATCCAATGAGTTTTATGTCAAAGATTTCTACACAAGTGATTATATCTAGTGAATTTTTGATTAAATTCAGTGAAATTTTTTTTTAATATCATTTAAAAATTTCATTATGATCGTTTTGACATCATTATTCTCTTGAATATTACGAAGCTGAATATATGATATTTAATTTGAATACGCAACTAAACCTACATTTACTAGGGAATATATTTCTCTCGAACACGTTTCAGGAGTTTTTTCTAATTTTTCAGTTGAATGGATACCGAATTGTTTTTTAGTTTGAATCGGATCTCCAAATAGATCTTTTTTTATTACATCAACTAGTAACCAATGGAAATGTGCAATCAGATCGAGTGCTTCAGATTCAGCACTATCATCATATGCATCAATAATTGCTGCAGCTCTATTTTGTATTCGTATATTTATAGCGGTTTATATGAGCAAAAGCACATAAGTATTTGACTAAAAAAAGCTTATTCAGGAAGACAATTTTCTTAAATATTAAAATATTAAAAATCGATTTCAAAATTATCCTTATTCGTTAATTAATTTATTATTTATTACTGAATTATTTTTATTAACAATTCATTTACAGTATGTACAAACATAATCACAATAGCTGTTCCATCCAGTCCATCGATGCAAACAGTAAACACTGGATGACGGTAAAAGGAGGATACGTAATTTGATTGGCTCGTTAGCTGAAGTGAGCAACATTTCTTTGGCTGACATGTTGTGCTCATTTCAATCGACTTAGAAGAAGTCTTATTCATTATTTTGCTGACTGCATACACATACTCTGCAGCATATTCTGAATAGTCGGCTAGCGAACGCCGACCGAAGGGAGGGTTGAGCGTTCTGTTGGATTCAAACTGATTGAAGGTCGTCCGCACATATAAGTTCGTAAAGTCAGAGGCGCTACCTTGTGCCTATGTGCAGGGAGTGATCAACGGTGTGAAAAACTGTCGCGTTGCAAACGAACATTATCTGCGACCGATACCACAACGAAAACCAGTATTTTGAATATTTTTTTTGAGTTTTTTCAATTTTCTCCCTCTCACATTTATTTTGAACAAAAACAAAGTTCTCCAAAACTTTGTAAAGTACATTTCCTGTCAGGGACTTCAGGAACTTTAACTGAAGATGAAATATTTGTAAACATTCACTCTAGAAGCATGTAATTCATCTTAAACTATATATACTTATAGTAAGCGCATGTCAATTATCGGTCCGAAAATTGCATTTCGCAATAACACTCAGCCGTAAGTTTCAAGCTTTTTGCTTCGTTATTGATATCAATCAAGATTTTGGTTTTGTTTCTTAGTTGAATATAAAACCAAGGTATCATATACACGTGCGATAAGAAGGTTATTTTATAGGTATACCTTGGTTTTATATTCAACTAAGAAACAAAACCAAAATCTTGATT